TTAGTTCATTCAGTGATTCAATATTTAATGATTATTTAGTTTCATAACAAGAGTGTTAAAAGTTAATTATTTTAAAAGCTATAGTTATGACAAGTTTTGTTAAGTAACTCTGTATGAGTTGCTTATTGTTTATGCAGTATAATTGTTGTATTAGACTTTTGTAATATTGTTGCCCTCATCTTACTCAAAGCTTCTACGTTTTTCTCCTTATATTTATTATTGTTGTTACTAGAGGGCTAGATATTTCTGTATTTTTTGTTGCATGTTATACATACGTGCAGATACACAGTGCAAGTAAAAAAAGCAAGTTAAGTGAAAGAAATAATTAGATAGATCTAGACTGTGTGAGTGATTAACCTTAACAGGTGATTTTTAAAGTGAGTTTCATAGCTGTATTGTTATAACAGAGATAGGAAAAATAATTTGTCTTTATTATTTAAAGAATTGTTTAAAGCTCTGGATTCAACTGTGGTAACCAACAGAAGAAAAATTGTGTGAGATATCTAATCTGTGTTTGTAAGTTTAGCCATAAAGAGTGTATAGTGTTGACTTTTAAAGTGTTATAATCACAGATTGTATTGTAATTAACAGAGTAGAGAAGAATAATTTGTCTTGTCAGTTGGGTTCTAAAGTAACTGAACCAGCCTGAATGGACTTTTGACGTAAAACAGAATTATTTAAAGCTCTGTATACAACTATAGTAACCCATGAGATAAAGTAAGTGAACTTATCACTAATTATATTGTGATAACAGAGAAGAAGAGAAAAAAAATTTCTTGTCAGGTGTTCTGAATTAATTGAACTTGCCTGTATGGACTTTGATGAAAAAGAGATAATTACACAGGTCTGCAATGGTTTTATTGTCTTGAAATTTTGACATGTTCTACAGTAATTCCTATACACTAAATCCAAAAATGGTATCCATTTTTCTCTATCCCATATAGATTTTTCACAAAACATCATATGTACTTTTACATAAGTGAATCATTTTCATTTAAGTCAGGTCACATTTTATTATGCTTAAAATGTTGACAACCACTGGCTATAGATTTCTCTAGACCAATTGCGATGTGAGAGTCTTATCGATCGTTTTCGAACCCACACAAAACATGTCACTAGTACATAAACAGTTAACAGACCACATGATGTATCATTTCCAGATAATATTTGTTTATGGGTGCACTTTAACATTTCTTTTTTCTTTTCAATATTATTTATTTGTTGCTATGGCAACAAGACATTGTGTAAATGACCCAAACATATTTTGTTATATTTGTTGTAAAGAAACAAAGCCAAAACATTACAAAATTTGTTAAAAAAAGTGTATTATGCATATTTTGGAATAACACTTGGACCAAGACAAATCATGGGTTGAGTACAAAGTTTGCACCATTTGTGTTGAAGAGTTGAGACAACCGACTAAAGGTAAGAAAAAGTCTTTGCCTTTTGGAATTCCAATTGTCTGGTGTGAGCCTAGAATCTATGGAGATGGCTGCTATTTTTGCTCATGTAACATGCAAGGCTACAACACTTAAAATCAAAAGGGAAATTTCCTATCCAAACCTTCAATCTGCTATAAGACCTGTTGCTCATAGCCCTGATGTACCTGTACCTACTCCACCGGAGACTTTTGATACAGTTTCATCTGATTCTGAATCTCATGTCAGTAGAAATGAATATATGGATTATTTTCAACCTGAAGCGTTTGTTGAACCACAACTTTTCACACAAGGTGAACATAATGATTTGGTGAGAGATTTGGGCCTTCCAAAGGATTTTTCAGAGATTTTGCGGTCCAGACTTCCGGCTAAGAACTTACTTTCTCCAGGGACATCATTTTACAGGTACAGAAATCATGAGAAAGAGTTTATATCATACTTTTTGCAAGAAGGCTCACTGGTTTATTGCAATAATATTGCTGAATTAATACCAATGCTAGGAACTGCAGGCTATGAACCAAGTTAGTGGTGATTGTTCATTGATTCCTCCAAAAGAAGTCTAAAAGGTGTTCTCCTTCACAATGGTAATATATATGCATATGTTCCTATTGCTCATTCAGTTCACTTGAAGGAAGTGTATGAAAATCTCAAACTTCTTAATAAAGTCAAATACAAAGAACATGGTTGGCTACTTTATGGAGACTTAAAAATCTTTTTTATGTTGTTGGGTCAACAATCTGGTTATAGTTAAATTGAATGTGAAAGTTTGGTTGACACAAAGAAAGTCCTATTATCTCCACTGCACATAAAACTTGGCTTCATGAAACAGTTTGTAAAGGCCTTATACAAAGATGGTGACTGTTTCAAGTATCTATGTGGGCAATTCTCAGCTCTTTCAGAAGCAAAACTTACAGAAGGGATTTTTGTTGGGCCTCAGATTAAGAAATTGACTTTGGATGAACAGTTCAAAAGGACAGTGAGGAAAGTTGAAATAAAGCATGGATTGCCTTTAATGATGTCATTGACAAATTTTTAGGAAACAACAAGAACCCAAATTATGAAAATATTGTCAATAACATGCTCAATAAATTCAAAGAGTTGGGTTGTAATATGAGCTTGAAAGTTCGTTTCTTACACTCACATATTGACTATTTCCCTGAAAATCTTGCCGTCAGCGAAGAACAAGGGGAAAGGTTGCATCAAGACATCAGGGAAATGGAGAGGCGGTATCAGGGAAGGCGGAACATCAGCATGATGGCTGATTACTGCTGGTCATTGAAATGAGTTGCTCCAGATGCAATACGTAAAAGAAAGACCAGAACACTTAGTTTTGAGACTAAAAGACATAGATTTCACAAAAAGAATGAGGATGCATATTCATTTGACATCAGTGTTCTTCCCTTTTCTTCAGTTTGTTTG